GTCACCCTTTGCTACCCAGCAGTGGGACCCCCTGGCAATGCCCAGAGCACGGCTCCTGGCCAGCATGCCACCCAGTGACAGTCCAGTCCCCCTGGTGGCCTCACCATGGAGGGCATGACTGGACCACGGGAGGGAGGGTGCACCTTGCAGTCGGCCGCTGCGGGTTCCAACCCGAACTGCGCTGCCACTTGGCTACGGGGACCTGGTACAGGACACTCCCCTCCAGCCTCGGATTTCTCCTCTGGGAAGAGCCCCTGGAGTAATCATGCCCACAGCCCCTACTGTACGGTCAAGCACTTCACAAGCGTGACCCACACCACTTGTGAGACGGTGCGATGGTGACGCCCATTTTCGGACGGGGAAACTGAGGCACAGAGGGGTTGAGTGACGTCAGAGGACGGCCAGGAGCTGAACTCGGGCCTCGTTCTGACCCTTCGCACGATTACCACGTTATCCTGTGACAATCCGAAGCAGCGGATGCCGAGATCACGCCATGCTAGAGCTAAAGAAACAGGCGCAGAGAGGGTCAGGGGACTGCTCAGGGCCACACAGCTCCTAAGCGGCAGAGCCAGGATTCAAACTCAGGCCAGCTGGCTCCCTAAGGGTCTGGCCCTGCCTCCTCCTGAGTCCTGCACCCCATAACAGGCTGGGGGTGTCGCCCTGGGGACCCTCAGGTCTAGGCAGCAGCACCAGCCACACGAAGCTTCCTCCCAGGAACAGCGCCCCCTGGATATCGCCGCTGGAATAGGGCAGAGCGGGCGGCGGTGCGATGGCGCCACTTACAGGCCGGCTACAGCATGACAGTCCCCACTGCGGCGCTGACAAGCCCCCTGGGAAGCCGGGGGAGAGAAGCACACACAGATCATGCCTTTAGGGAGGGCAAGGAAAGACTCAATAGATTAAAAAGTCAGGAGCCTGGCTCTCTCGGTGAAATGCAAAGGACGTGAACAAGTAGTACCGAGGGGGACCAGCGGGTGGCGTGGTGGTGAAGGTGCTAAACTCTCACATGGCTAATAGTGGTTCAAATCCTGGACCTGGTGACTTGAGAATCATGCCAGGCGCATATATGTGCATGCCTTCGACCTTATTGAAAAACCTTAAAAATAGGGACCAGCTGATGGCGTAATGGCTATGTCCCTGGACTCTCATGTAGTCGACCGCGGTTCGAGTCCCGGACCCTGTGGCTTAAACGCACGCCGAGCACGTGTGCGTGCGTGCCCAAGATCCCGAGAGGAGAATGGAGGAGAAGGGATTGCGGCGTGACCATCCCCCCGGGGGGTGATTTCTCACTCTCTGTCTCTATGTCTCTCTCTGTCTGTCTGGTGAGCGCACGCTCCCTATAGCAAAAATCTCTCAAAAAAAATTTAAAAAAACAGAAAAAAATGGTAGCACAGGGTGTGGGCCTTCCCCGGGCCAGGCCTGCTCTAAGCCCTTCATAAAGTGTTCCATGCCATTCTCCCAAGAACCACAGGAGGGAGGCCCGCTGCCTGTCCGCACCTCAGAGGGAGACTGAGGGTCCGAGGTCACTCGGGCGGTAGCTGCAGAGCAGCCTGGAGCCCAGGGCTCTCTGACTCCTGCAGACGCGTCTTACCCTGGGCTCTGCTTTCTCTGCAACCGGACAGGGGGCCGAGGGCCCAAAGGAGGTGTGTCTGCCCATCAGGGAGGTGCGGTACCTGCACCCCTAGATACCTGGGCCAGGGCTCCGCACCAGCAGGCACATCTCGCGGGGCACCAGCCCTTCCCACCGCCTCCAGGCAGTGCGTGGGTCCCCGCCCACCCTGGCCCTCCCAACAGGCCTGAGGGAGGCCACACTCGGCCAACAGGCCCCTCTGCGGGGTGCTGGCATCCTGCGGGAGGGCCGTGGGCTCCCAGGGCTTGGCTTTCTGCCTCTCTCTGCAACGGTACCAAGGAGCAAAATGACTCAACTTCCCAAAGGCGGCGGAGGAGCTGGGAGGAGGAGGCTCCGCCCACCCCGTGGTGAGTAAAAGCAAAGTCCTCACCACTAGACCGCCCGGCCTCCTGCCCTCACCTCCCAGCGCTCCCTTCACTGGCTGCACCCCCGCGTGCAGGGCCGTGGCGCACGGGGCTTGCGCCCACCCCAGGGCCCTTGCACTGGCTGCTCTGTCTGCCCAGAACGCTCCTCCCACAGGGCCACAAAGGCCCACCCCCACTCCTTCAGGAACTGTCCAGAGGGCCAGCCGGCTGCCCTGGCCCAGCCCGCACTGCCACATCCCGTGGCCTCCCTCCCAGTCCCCTCCCAGCACTCGAGACCACTAAGAGCCACCGCCTTCTAAAACACTTATCAAGGAGCCAGCCGCTTGAAACTCACGCCAGGCGCGTGTGTGTGCGTGCCCAAAATCCCCGGAGGAGAATGGAGGAGAAGGGATTGCAGCGTGGCCATACCCCTCCCCCAGGGGCAATTTCCCACTTTCCCTCTCACTGTCTCTGTCTCTCTCTGGCCAGCGTACGCTCCCTAGGGCAGAAACAACAACAAAAAGCCTTTAAAAACCACTTATCAATCTTATTTACCATCCGCCTTCCCGCTGGGGTGTCAGGAGGTGCTCAGCACACACCTCTACAGATGACCAGGGTGGGGAGCAGAGGGGTGGGGAGCCGCCCACAGAAAGCACACCTCCCGGCCACAGCCCCTGCCGAGAAGGAGGGGGAGGAGCAGGAGGCTGTCAGCCCCGCCAAGGTGGCACTGGAGCGGACCCGGAGGGAGTGGGTAACCCAGGGCACAGAGGGGATCCCCTCTACCCATGCACGCGCGCACTCTAACCCAGCCCAGGTCTTTCCAGGCCTTGGCTGCTGGCAAAGATCTCTCAGACCTAGGGGTTCTGCAAACAACGAGGACTTTGTGGCCCGAGTCGGAGGCGGCCTCCCTTCCTTGAGGCAGGAGCGTGAAACCGGGGAGGGGCTTCCTACCCAAGCCAGGCTTACTCCCAGGAGGGAGACCGCATATGCCGGGCTGTGGGCTGAGAAGGGGCCCGCCCAGGGTCTGCAGAGTCCATCCAGCAGAGACGGGCACCCTCGCTCTCACGGGAGCAGAGGTGGCCGCCTCCCTCGGGGCCTCAGGCTTCTCTCCACAGAGCGAGGTGGTGTGAGAGAGGACGCCCGCACACCCCCAGCGCCAGGGGAGGCCACGTGACCACGCAGGCTGGACGTGTGACCCTGGGCGGCCCTGGGGCATGCACTGAACACTGAAGCAGGCTCTTTGTCCTTAGGGAAGACAATCTAGGTGACCTTAACCACCGAGATGCTGGGGCCCCCTGGACACCTCAAAGAGAGGAAAGAGTCTGGCAGGAGAGGAAGCTCACCCAGAGAGGTAGAGGGAGAGAGGAAGAGACCCAGAGTCCTCATGCTGTTCACGGAGCACCTGGATCCCACCACGCCTGAGCTCCATCTTTGGACTTCTCTAAAGAGCCTCAGCACTGAGGGCAGCCGAGGCAGGCATGATTATAACGATCATAACCTGGGAAGGTTACTAGGATGAGAGCGTAAGGTGATGGTGGGGAGCAGGGAGGCCATCAGACAGAAAATGCCCAAGAAGTCAGGAAGGGTCAGGACCAGCAGTTAGCGTCATGGCTATGTCGCTGGACTCCCACGTAGGTGACTGCAGTTCGCGTCCCGTCCCGGCGGCTTAAACTCCCGCTGGGCGCGTGTGCGTGCGTGCCCAAGATCCCGAGAGGAGAATGGAGGAGAAGGGATTGCGGCATGGCTGTCCCCTGGGGGGTGATGTCTCTACTTTCTGGCAAGCGCACGTGCCCTATAGCAAAAACCTCTCCAAAAAAACAAAAGAAGTCAGGAAGGATTGTGTTTCCGGGCTCAGGGCTGTTTAGAGATGTGGGTTTCAGTAAGCCCTCTCCCATGGCAGCATGGGGGTAGAGATCGGGAGGCCAAGACGAGACTGGGGGCGAAGGCCCAGCGGGTGATGCAGGGACTGAGCAGCGGTGGTCACAGGCCCCTCGGGAGGGGGAAGACATCTTTCTGGAAGCACCCCGGGTGGGGTCTCCAGGACGTCGCTGCAGGCAGAGGCAGCCCCACACGCCTGGGCCTCGAGTTGAAAAGACAACTGTGCCCAGGCCAGGAAGGCCAGGAAGGCAGTGCCTTCATTCACAGTGCAGCCATCACAGTGGGGGGCCCATAACGCGGGCCCCTGGGTCAGCTCCCAGCTCTGCTTTTCGTTGTATAACCTTGGCCAAGTCACTGACCAGCGCTCTGCCTCCGTCCCCCCAAATGCAACATGGGGAGAATAACAGTACCTGACCTCTGTGTTATGGCGGGGGACATGAGGACATGTGCCCCCCTGTCCACGGAGACCACAGTCCCTGCGCTCGGAGACACGGCAGGTCCAGTGTGGGGAGAGGGAAGAGAGAGACGGGAAGTGGCCCCAGGGAACCGTTCCTGACAAGTCTCCGGTGCAGGAGTGAGGCCGGGCCGTAGGCTGCCACTGGAGAGGACACAGCAGCCACATCTGCCCCACAGGCCTTGCTGGTGCCACCCAGGAATGTGGCAGCTGTCCCTCTCTGCCCTGACCACGCACTCCCCGAGCCCTGGAGGTTCACAGGCCAGAGCTGCGGGCCTCCCCCTTCCCCTGGCCAGAGCTTTCCTGCTGCATGGTCCAGCCTCCGGCCACCAGCACGGGAGCTGCCTCCACACTTCTGGCCAGGGAGCCCGCACCCCTAACAGCCCGTGCCATCCCTGAGGCTGGGTGGAAGCCTCCCCTTGCAGCCCTGCCCTCCAAACCTCCACGGCTGCTCCCCTGCAGGTAGGGGACAGCCCAGGATGGCCGGGTCAGCTTCCCGCTGCAGGACAGGCCAGCCTGTGGGGCAGCCCGCCCTCCCACCTGCCTGCTGTCCACCTGCCTGCAGCCGAACTGTCCCCAAGTCCCGAGATGGAGTCTCCCCCGGGTCTCAGCCACCCCTGTGCCCTCTCACTGGGGCTTCCGAGGGGGCAGAGTGGCCGGCCCCAGCAGCCAGCCCGCAGGTCCCCGGACCTACCCGCCTCTCCGGGGGGCTCCCGGCTGAGCCCGCACAGCATGTCCGCTATTGTCTCCCCTCTGCCCACCAACTCCTCCAGCACGCGGCTCGGCCCCTCCCTCCTGCTCCCCGGGGAGGGCCGAGAGGGAGGCTCACGGCTCCCACTGGCTGGGCACCAGGTCCACCCACTGCAGCGGGCGGCCTCCTGCTTAAAGGGGACACGACTGTCCCCAGGGCGGGCTCAGGACAGTCCAACGCCCCCAACCCCAAGTCTGGACAGGGGATCTTTAGAGATAGCAGTCCTGGGAACGCCCCAGGGGCCAGGGGCCAGGGTCCAAGCCCCTGTGTCCCATCTGCCCTGTACTGGCCCTGGCAGCCTGGCAAATGATTCCACTCCCCAGACCTCAGTTTTCCCATCTGGGAAGGGGGTACACCACTTGCTCAACCTAATTTTTATTTTCTTTTTTCCTTTTTTTTTTTTTTTTAGAGTTTTTTGTTTTGGGGGGGGGGTTGAGAGAGACAGAAAGACAGAAAGTGAGAAATCACTCCCTGGGGGAATGGTCATGCCGCAGTCCCTTCTCCTTCATTCTCCTCTCGGGATCTTGGGCACACACGCACATGAACCCGGCGTGAGTTTAAGCCACCGGGTCCAGAACGCGAACCGTGGTCGACTACATGGGAATCCAGTGACATAGCCATTACACCAACTGCTGGTCCTGACTCAACCTAATTTTTCTTAAAGCAGCAGACGAAGCAGTCAGAGCACAGCCTCTGCGTAAATGGCAGGGCCAAGGCATTTCTGGGGTCTCATGTTAGATGTCTAGTGCTCGGGGAGCCCCCTGGAGCCTTCCCCCTGACACTGCAGTGACCACCCAGACCCAGCCCTTGTGCTCACCAGGGAAAGGGGGCTCAGGGACGAGGACTCCAGCAGCTCAGCCCCTGGCGTGGCCGCTGGCTTTTGGGGACAGCCAAGTGCACTGGGTAGGGGACCGGCCCGCTCTGAGCTGGATGGGCAGGGACAGCTGTCACAGGCTGGGGCCACAGCCCTGTACATTCTGGAACATCTCCACCCCAGCTCGGGGCCGCCCACCGAGCCTCCAGGACACCCCGCCCTCCGCCTCCTGCCCATGAGAAGGGGTGGCCCGCTGTCCCCGCTGCGCCTGTTCTCCATCCTACGCCACGCGTTGACGCCAGCGGAGGCCAGGGGTCGCACGGGTACTGGGGGAAGGGTGCGGTGCGGTGACATGGGACGGGGAAAGGGACCTGTTCGACTTCAGAGCACGAGGCAGAGAGGCGGGTGGACGCGGTCCTGGGGTCCTGGCTCTGGGGAGAGCCTGGAACAAGCAAGGTGCAGCTGTCCTGTGTATCCTGCAGCCAGAGGGGAAGTGCTGCCCAGTGGTGAGGGTCCGAGGGCTGCCTCCTGCCCCCTCGGGGGAATCAAGGCCGCTGTCTTGGGCTGCCCTCGCCCCCTCCTGCCAGCCCAGCTCAGGGAGGGGAGCCCCTCGGCACAACCGGGCTCCGACTGTGGGGTGGGGGCTAGTGAGCCCCTGGATCCCTGAGCCCCAGACGTCCCCCCCCCCGCCCCGTGGCCAGGGGCCTGTCTCACTGGGTGACGTCAGTTACACCCCAGAGGCGGGGTCCAGCAGCCATGCCTCAGGTCAGGGAGGTGTCAAGGTGTCAGCCACGGAGGAGTGGTGAGTGTCGGGGCCAAAAGGGAGCACCCCAAACCAGTGAGCATTTGCGGGAGGCGGGGGTGCAGGCTCTCAGCGTGGGAGAAGCCCTGATGAAGACCCCATTCCTCAGCTGGCCACTCCGGGGTGGCCCTCCCTGGCTGGCCCCACTTGCAGTACCTGGGGGAGGAGGCGGGAAGCTCTGCCCTCCCCCTGCAGGTGCATTTACACAAGCAGCGAGCAGCGCAGACAGGCACGGAGAGCCGCCCCAGGCCTGTCTCTATACCTGCTCTTTGGCACGTTTCTTTCCCTGCTCTTTGGAATTTACTTTTGTGGACCAGAAGATCCTGGAAAGGTCACGCCAGGGATTACAGAAGAGCTTCTATGCGGCATTTCTCGGAGCATTCGCAGTGCCAGGTGGTTGGGGGACTGAGGGCAGCAGGAGTGGGGGGTGGGGACAGAGGAGACAGGTGGGCCACACTGTCTTCCCTCTGCCCTGGGCCCTGACACCCCGCTAGGCACATTTTCATTTGTTTTCACCCGAGCCTATGTTCAGAAGCCATTGTTAGTCCATTCTGGAAAAAGATGGGGTTTAAATAAATGATTTAGCACAGAGAGGTTAAGCAATTTGCCTGAGGTCACCCAGCTGAGAAGGGGGGAGCCAGGTGCACACCGGAGAAGTCCCCATTAATGGTTGTTTTTACTTTATTTATTTATGTGTTTATTTATTGACTTTTGAGAGATTTTTGCAATAGGGCCTGTGCGCTTGCCAGAGAAATAGAAAGAGACAGAGAGACAGAGAAACAGAGAGACACAGAGAAACAGAAAGAGAGAAATCACTCCCCCCCCCCCAGGAGATGGCTCTTCTCCTCCATCTTCCTCTCGGGATCTGGGGCACACACGCACACGCGCCTGGTGTGCATTTCAAGCCACCAGGTCTGGGACTCGAACAGCAGTTGACTACAAGGGAGTCCAGTGACATAACCCTTATGCCATCTGCTGGTCCCTGCTTAATTTATTTCTGTCATGAGCTTAAGAGAGTGAAGAGCAAGCACCCTAACGGGGTCTGCCCAGCCCGTCCCGGCCAGCCAGGGTCACACCCATGCCCCCCCATACAGATGACGGAGAACCAAACCCACACCCTTCCGTGGGGTTCTGCGTGGCTGGAGCGGGGTGTCACCGCTGCGCCCTGAGCCGGCCGGCACCACCGTGTCTCAGGACGCTGTCCTGGGTCTCACGGGAGTCCAGGACTGTAAAGCAGTCTAGGCGGGTGGATAAAGAGGAATTAGTTCTTTTTTTTTAGAGAGAGGTTTTTGCTATAGGGTGCGTGCGCTCACCAGACAGACAGAGACAGAGAGACAGAGAGACGGAAGGCGAGAAATCACCCCCAGGGGGAATGGCCACGCTCAATCCCTTCTCCTCCTGGGATCTTGGGCACCATGCACATGTGCCCGGTGTGAGTTTGTGGTAGGCAGTTAGTTAGCCCTGAGCAGGCAGCCCTAAGAGAAAAGCGAAAAGCTCCCCTAGCCCCCGGGCGAGGTAATTTGCCAGCTTCCTTCCTTGGGGCCTGAGGGAAGCACACAGGGATGAGTCTTAGATTTTTCTCTTATTAAAAAGACCCAACCAGGGGAACTAGCAGTTAGCGTAATGGCTATGTCGCTGGACTCCCACGTAGTTGACCCCGGTTCGTGTCCCGGACCCGGTGGCTTAAAACTCACGCCGGGCGCGTGTGCGTGCGTGCCCAAGATCCTGAGAGGAGAATGGAGGAGAAGGGATTGCGGTGTGACCATCCTCCCTGGGGGGTGATTTCTCGCTTTCTGTCTCTATGTCTCTCTCTCTCTGTCTGGCGAGCGCACGCGCCCTATAGAGAAAATCTCTCCAAAAAAAAAAAAAAGACCCAACCAGCATTTTGGTCAACGCCCTAAATCCCACCAAGACAATGAATTAATTAGTCTAATTAAACAACCTGGCTCACACTGGGCATGGGCAATAAGGTCATCGAATTCCTCATTCCTTATGTGTGAGAGAAGTGCACAAGCCAGGAGAAAACGCGGGAATGCGAAGGACAGAAGTCGAAGGACAGAAGACAGACTTCCCACCGATAAATACTCAGGACCACCTCTGGTAATAAAAGTCACAATTAACCAGTATCAAGCGCAGGGGCCACCTGGCCATCTGCCCTCCCAAGAGCCTTTTGGGCGTACTTTCCTCTCCTTCCTATTAAACCTTCTCTTCTACCTACCTCATTCGTGGGTGCGGTTTCATTTTGCGCCTAGGGACAGGTCTCTAATTTTAGAGATTTGGACCCAAAGAACCAAGGACATCACAACGTTCTCCCTTCCTTTAGCAAGTTTAAGCCACCGGGTCTGGGACTCGAACCGCGGTCGACTACATGGAGTCCAGCGACATAGCCGTAACACTAACCGCTGGTCCCGTGATCTGTGGGTTTCTAAGGAGAAGAAGGTGCAGCCAGGAGCTCCAGGGGCACAGGCCAGGCCACACTCAGCTCTAGAGTTCCAGCCACCAGAATGGGGAGTCAAATCACCTCCATCTCTCTCTCTCTCTCTGTCTCTCT